TAAACCCCGGCCAAAAAATTTTGAACTCTAATTATCTTTGTTTTGATCAGATTTCGAAAAAAAGTCAACCATCAAAGAGAAGGAAGGTGGTGAAGCCTAAAAGCGTTGATCAACATATAAAGAAGATGAGTGAACAAGGGTCGAAGAGTGAACAAGTGTCGAAGAAGAATTCTTCGAAAGGTTCAGCCATGCAACCTACACCACTTGTTGGAGACAATGTCCTTCAATCGCTCACTAAGGATTTAACTTTTCTACACAATCGTTTTAGTCATTTGCCTAGTGACGATCCCATTGAAATTGCACTTCCTAAGGCAATGTTCCATTATGATGAGGATGCAAGTGCATGGTTAAACAAACAAGATGTGAAGGAATTTTTAAGCGGTTCATTGCTTAACATTTCTCTCATTCAAATATTCATGAGGTACGGGCTCATGCCACTTAAATTAATTTGTTGTATATATTGGTGTTGTTTATCCTTCATATATGTCAATTAATTTTTCATTGCACATGCACGTAGAGCACTACGGGAGCACTTAAGTGACACTGATTCACCTAGTAAAGTTGGGTGGTTATGCCCCGAACAGACATCCGAGACTAGAATCTTACACAACTCCCCCGAGGTGATGTATTATGTTATCCATAATATTCGGGAATCAATGCGTGCGGGAGACAAGTTCATATTCGCCCCATGTTATGAGGAGTACGTTTAACCATGTGTAATTCAATTCTTTCTACATCTGATTTATTTGTTGTACCCTAATTATTGATGTGTTTGTGTATTGTGAATTTATGTAGGTATCATTGGTTCCTCATGGTGATTTGTCCTGCTAATAACACAATCTTTCACCTTGATTCAGCTCGATCAACAAAGAAGTACCTCGTGATGTCTGTACTACAAAAGTAAATATAGCTACCTAGTGTTAAGTATCTTAACCTAACTCATTTAGTAGTCAAACTAATCAAATTTGATTTTACTCTCCTATAGTATTATGAAGAAGATACATGGTCGTGCTCCACGGGGTCCTACATGGAAATCACCTATGGTAATGCCACATCATATTGTGATTATCTTAATAAACATTGCTAAAACAATTGTGGGTTTTATGTGACATTTGATTCATTTGATTTGTTCCTATTCTAGTGCCCACAACAAGATAATGGAGTTGATTGTGGATTATACGTGATGAGATTCATGCTTGAGATAGCGACTCATTGTTCCAACACCATACATCTTGATGAGGTACGACCTTAAACTTAGTAAAATGCCCTTATTCTGTGATTTCAAGGCTTAGCCACTTATAACTAAGTATAATTGACATGTTATGAGGAACAACTTGGTCATTTGTTGAAAAATGTAGAAAATGGGCAAGTAGAAGTCAAATAGGCCTTATTTTGGCTATTTTGGATGAAAATGCGACCTTAAACTTAGTAAAATGCCCTTATTCTATGATTTCAAGGCTTATCCACCTACAAATAAGTATAATTGACATGTTATGAGGAACAACTTGGTCATTTGTTGAAAAATGTAGAAAATGGGCAAGTAGAAGTCAAATAGGCCTTATTTTGGCTATTTTGGATGAAAATGCGACCTTAAACTTAGTAAAATGCCCTTATTCTGTGATTTCAAGGCTTAGCCACCTACAAATAAGTATAATTGACATGTTATGAGGAAGAACTTGGTCATTTGTTGAAAAATGTAGAAAATGGGCAAGTAGAAGTCAAATAGGCCTTATTTTGGCTATTTTGGATGAAAATGTGACCTTAAACTTAGTAAAATGCCCTTTTTCTTTGATTTGAAGGCTTAGACACCTATAACTAAGTATAATTGACATGTTATGAGGAAGAATTTGGTCATTTGTTTAAAAATGTAGAAAATGGGCAAGTAGAAGTCAAATAGACCTTATTTTGGCTATTTTGGATGAAAATGCGACCTTAAACTTAGTAAAATGCCCTTTTTCTTTGATTTCAAGGCTTAGCCACCTATAACTAAGTATAATTGACATTTTATGAGGAAGAACTTGGTCATTTGTTGAAAAATGTAGAAAATGGGCAAGTAGAAGTCAAATAGGCCTTATTTTGGCTATTTTGGATGAAAATGCGACCTTAAACTTAGTAAAATGCCCTTTTTCTTTGATTTCAAGGCTTAGCCACCTATAACTAAGTATAATTGACATTTTATGAGAAACAACTTGTTCATTTGTTGAAAAATGTAGAAAATGGGCAAGTAGAAGTCAAATAGGCCTTATTTTGGCTATTTTGGATGAAAATGCGACCTTAAACTTAGTAAAATGCCCTTTTTCTTTGATTTTAAGGCTTAGCCACCTATAACTAAGTATAATTGACATGTTATGAGGAAGAACTTGGTCATTTGTTGAAAAATGTAGAAAATGGGCAAGTAGAAGTCAAATAGGCCTTATTTTGGCTATTTTGGATGAAAATGCGACCTTAAACTTAGTAAAATTCCCTTTTTCTTTGATTTCAAGGCTTAGCCACCTATAAATAAGTATAATTGACATGTTATGAGAAACAACTTGGTCATTTGTTTAAAAATGTAGAAAATAGGCAACTAGAAGTCAAATAGGCCTTATTTTGGCTATTTTGGTCATTTGTATATGCGACTGTTTTTAATTTTCCCAAGTATTTAATTTTTACATATTAATTTAATTTATTCTAACATAATTTATATATACTCCAAGTTTTTCAAGGTGCAAAAGGGGGATCCGTTAACTAGCAAGGAGCTTTATGAAGTTCGAGACATGTTGGCATCTTTCATCACCTTCAATTTGTAAATGTGGCATCATTATGAATTATACTTTGTTTATTATTAACTTTTAAACTACAATTTTGACTAGTTATTAGTATTGTTTGTATTTATTTATATATCACACTTTATTTAATTTGTTGTATTGCATTTGGTTTTTAATTATAAAAGTAGTCTAAAAATATATTTTTAATTCTTGTTATGATTATTGAATTTTTAGCAATAATATGGTAGAATATTATAGCAGGATCAGTTGCAGGATTAATTGCAGGAATAATTGCAGGACAAAAAAAAAATAGAACCTTTTATTGCCACCGGTTTACCGGTTCGAACCGGTGGCAATAGTCATCATTCAGCAGCAAAAAAAACCGCGAAGATTTATTATTGCCACCGGTTAACCGGTGGCCATAATTAGTATTACCACCGGTTAACCGGTGGCCATTAACACTATTGCCACCGGTTTTGAACCGGTGGCCATTTGATGCATTATTGCCACCCCCCAAATGACCACCGGTTCAAAACCGGTGGCAATGGGGGGTTTTCAACCGGTGGCCATTTGCATTTTTCGCCTAGTGAAGGAGGGAAAAAAAAAGTTACAATCGATTGAATTAAATAATTGAAATTAATCATATTGTCCTCATGATATAATATTTACAACAAATAACACACACTTGAATTTTATTTCACTTTGAACAAATAATATTTACGTAACATGGAAAACTTAGCTTTTTCTAGAAAGCCATGAGATTTAATTTTTAAAATCTATAACCCTTAATAAAAGTGAGAACTTAGTAACAGTAACTTGTGGTGTTATTACACTAACACCCCCGAAATTAATGGAATTCCGAAAATTCCCTTTATTCTAATTGGTTGATGCTTCATGCTTGACAGCTTGAATGCTTTTTCACCGACTTCCCTTGCCTACTCCCTTAGCTCTCTTTCTTTTCATCTCAAAAAAAAGCTCAGAGTATTTATGGAAACAAGGAGAGAGAAAGCTAGAGAGAGAAAATATGTCTTCCTTCAACAACTATGGCGATGAGCTCAAAACCACCTATCATCCCTTCGACGATGGTTATGGGAGCTTGTGGAAGATGATATTTGATGTCGTTTTCTCCGATCTACAAGTATAATTCTACTCCTTTCTTAATATTAAACTACCAACTAAAATAACAAAAACCCCATTTGTAATTCAATTTTTTTTAAAAAATATCCAGAATCATTTCTGGTGGAATTCGGTTTAATAGGATGTCGTGATTTGGGAATTGAGCTATGGGAATTAAGTTATGCGAATTAAGCTAATGGGATTATGTGAAAATTGATGCATGACAAGCTGAATTAATGTGGTATGATCTAATGACTTCTTCTTTGTTACCAGGATTCGTGGTGGAGGTGGTATTCTGAATCTCTCTCACACTCACTCTCTAAATTTACCATTGGAGCAGTTTTTGAGTTTAGTTTTTTTCTTTGAATTAGCTGATCAATTACCACTCCTCTCTTGTGAATTCGATTCCTCCAGTTTCGGCCCGCCGTCTCCGAGGTTCCCGTTCAGTCTGAGATTGTGTTTCAATTTCCTCCATTAAAGCAGCTTCTTGAGGTAAGATCTCTATCCTTTTTATAATCATCTAATATCAATTTTGACAATCTTTTAACAGTAATCCTTTTTGTGCTACGTTTCTTCATTAAGCTTCTTAATTAATTTTCTCAAATTCGATTAATAACTCGAGCTATTTTTAAATGAATGAGTGGTGATGAAACCTAAGAAAGGGAAAAAGAGGAGAGAAACTGCGATGAACGGCGTTGGAAATAATGGTGGTTGGGAAGTTTCTGCCATCAATTTGATGAAACTCAGAAATTTGTAAGGTATTTTCTCTCCTTAAATTTGATGTGGTTGAATAGAAATATGTAAAAATTGCTCATTTCTGGAAAATTAGGCTGTAATTTTTTTTCTAGGGCTTTTGCTCAGATTCTGTAACTTAGATGTTTGTTTTTTAATCATCAAAAATCATTTCTCGATCTAGCATTTCATTGTTAATCGAATTAGGTTGTTATTGTACTTGGATTTGAAAATAATTATCAAGTTTGTTTGGAATTTTGAACAAATTAGGGTGTATTTTTATTTTTTTACTCGACTTTATACCGCCCTCCAATTTCAAGCAATTGCAAAAAATAAAAAAATCTGGAAGTCTATGTACACGACAGTGGAACAGCAACCATACCAATTCCAGTTACTCGGAATTTTCGGTGATGTCCCTTGCTCACCAACCTCGTACTCTTTCATCAACACCCTGAGCTTGAAGTTGTTGCTTAAGATATTCGCAGGTTAGTGAATATTTCAATCAATACCATAAGAAAATCTCTTTTATCAACACCAACCTCGTACTCTTTCATCTCACTCCTACTGCATCTGTTAGTGAATCTAGAGTCTTCTTGATGATGAAGGGAGCGTACTTTTTTTAGTTGTTTTGGTTTTTGGTGTTGAGTTATGAAATTATGAGTGATTTTGGAGGTGGATTTTGTGTGTTTGTTTATCACAATCAATAATAATCAATTTGTGGAATTTGTTTTTGTACTGTTCAATTTCAGATTACTATTAATTGGTTGCTCTTGTAATTTTGGATTGGTTCAAATTTTGTGATGAGAGTCTATTTGTTGAAATCAATTACTGAAGAATATATCGGCTTATTTGACTGATTTTTTTTCTGTTTTGGTTTATTTTTTGTTGCTGCCTTCTTCTCACTGTCAGAGTGTCAGGGCTGCTGGAGCAAATGCGGAGGTTTGTTTATGCGGATTATATCTATATTCTTTATGGAAATGAAAATGATACACTGTTGTTTATGAATGGTAACATGAGAAGTAACGTACTACAGCTTATACGAGGAAAGAGCCTTTGATAATATTGTCATATCACCTGGCCCTGGTTCTGCAATCTGTGCTGCTAATATAGGTGAGAGTCGTGAGATTCTTCTGCTCAACATGCTTTCAATAGAAGTTATGAAAGTCACTTTAATTTTTTACTTATTCATATGTTTGAACTGTGCTTGTTTCCAAGATTTATTGAGCCGATTTATAAAATTTAGTAATGATATGTTTGTCCAAAATTAATTAATGCTGCAATCTTATATAGTTATTGCTTAACCCTGATGTTATTTCTTAATCCTTAGTGTCTGCTAGAACTAAGATCTTATACAACACATCTGATCTGCTCCTCTCCTTTTGAATTCAATCAAGATGAAACCCACTCAAAAAAGGTTGGTGACCTGCAGCTACTGTTGTAATGTAGTTGAGAGTTGACTTTGAAATAAACTTCTCTTACTTAGCTGATGACTTTATGAGAAGTATATTCTATTAAGCTTTTGATTGCTCTCTTCTCTTATTTTATATCGCTTTCTCTATCTGTTGACGTCTCTGAATATCCTCTTGTTGATTTCATGTCTATCTTTATTTCGTTATTTTACAACAGCTTTGGTGAATAAGTTTCATATGCATTTGTATTTCATCATTTGAAAACGGCTTTGGTGACTGGTTTGCCTTAATGAAAAGCAAAGAAAGAGAGATAATCGGGATATTTGGATTTGCAAGCAAGTTGTTTCAGCAGAAAAAGCTATAATGGTTTAATTTATGACACTATTATCCTGCTTTATGTTTTTGAATTCTTTGAACCTAGGAACCCTGTAGATTTTTTGAAAATACTCTATATTTTTATTTTCAATAAACATAAAATCTTCTTTTCCAATATAATTACCGGTGGTGGTGTGGTTTATTTATTTATTTATATCATATCTTATCACTAACGACCATGGGTTATCTTTTTCATTTACCAGTCTACACAATCAAGAAAAATTGTCTTAATTGAGGAGTTGAGGTTTATGGATTATATTATTGCGCTTGTCTATTATTTATTATATTGGTAAGTATATCCTTTATAACTGCAGTCATTTGATGTAGTCTTCAATTAGGGATGGAATCTCACAATCATACGAACTCACCCTTGTAGGGCCATAACAATGTCAAGGATGGTGATTCTTCATCTCAGACTGGAAGCTGTATATTGAAGTCTACAAGGAGTGCTTTCAACTTTTGGTTTGACCAAAATGCATGTTTCTACAAGTAGACAAACTGTATAAAAATCTTAATAGAAAATTAGAAACCATTCTTATGAGGGCAAAATGGTTTTACCAAAATGCATGTTTCTATAAGCAATTTTTATAGAAATCATGTATACTTGTACAGTATATGTTTACTGACCATATAACTTCAATTTCTTTATTCGTTCGTTGTTTTGTTGGAATGTTGGATGAATCTCAACGTGTATAATACGAGAATAATATGTTGAAAAATGAGATGATCAAAAGTCATTGTACTGCTCTCAGATTCTTATTGATGTAGAGTTCTTACAAGTTATTTCGGTAATTGTTCACTTTTCCTTGGGCAATCATATACTGATCGGGGATTTGATGAAAACATATACGGGGCATTTGGATTGTGGGAATGAGAGTTTGGGGATTGAAAGGTGGGAATGGAATTTGGGAATTAATTGATGGGAATACATAAAAATATGCTAATACCTTGTTTGGATAGTGGATGGGAATATATAGGACATAAATAACAATTTTACAAAATACCCTTATTAAGATTGTTATTTAATTTTTTTTATTAATGGAAAAAATCTCATTTTTCTTCCTATTCCCATTCCCATTCATTTATTACCTACCCTCACTAGGTAATAAAAGGGTGGGAATTCACCTGTAAATAACCCATTCACAAACCCCTTTTTATTCCCATTCCCACCAACCAAACAAGGCTTATTTTTTATATTGGGATTAAAACTCCCAATCCCACCCTCAATTCCCACTTACCAAACACCCCCATAGTGAAAGTAAAGAAAGTTAAAGAAGACATGTAGTTGCAAAATTGTTACTCACTTTTTCTCAATCAAAATTTAGGGTAAGAGTCAAGGACATCTAAAAACCCATTGAGAATGTAGGACTGTAGATAAGAGGCTGAAAGTGAGAAACACTTAAGAAAACCTATTGAGAGAGAGAGAGATACCTATAAGTTATGAAGTCATTACAAAGGAGCAAAAAGTATAGGAAGATACGGAATTTTGGGAATTAAAGGAACGAAAGACAAATACTTTTTAGAGTGTAATTGAGTAAGAAGTAACCATTGAGAATGTAGGACTGAAGATAAGAGGGTGAAAGTGAGAAACACTCAAGAAAACCTATTGAGAGAGAGAGGGAGAGAGAGAGAGAGAGAGAGAGAGAGAGATAGAGAGAGAGATATACACCTATAAGTTATGAAGTCTGTAAAAAGGAGCAAAAAGAATAGGAAGATAGAGAGTTTTGGGAATTAAAGGAACGAAAGACAAATAATACTTTTTAGAGTATAATTGGGTAAGAAGTAACCATTGAGAATGTAGGACTGTAGATAAGAGGGTGAAAGTGAGAAACACTCGAGAGAGAGAGAGAGAGAGAGAGAGAGAGAGAGAGAGATACCTATAAGTTATGAAGTCAGTACAAAGGAGCAAAAAGAATAGGAAGATAGAGAGTTTTGAGAATTAAAGGAACGAAAGACATATAATACTTTTTAGAGTGTAATTGAGTAAGGAGTTGACAATACTTTTTAGAAACTTTCTAAAATGGTCGAAATAATAAAAGACGAGTTAAAGATAAGAAAGCTAAAGGGAAGAGGAAAAAGAGATAACAATATAGGAGGAGTAGATTTCGACAACTAGATTTAGACAATATTTTTTCAGTAATCAATAAATGTTATTAATTAAACAATGTGCTTTTGTGACAATTGAGGCATCAAACTGATTAGAGTCACCTTTAGAATAAATTTATCAACATTATGATATAACCGTGTTAGATTCATAAGTAAATGTTTTTTTTTATATTTGTACAACCATAGTTATAGATAGCTTTAGAAAGATAGAGGATAGGAGGTAGGAAAGGGGAGAGGAGTAGGACAGACACGAGAGATGAGAGAAAAAAAGATAGGGAGTAAGAAATAGGAGAGGGAGAGAGAGAAAAAAAGAGGAGGGATAGGAAGAGAGGGGCGCGAGAAAAGATACGTCGAGAGAGAAATAGAGGGAGAGAGAGAAGGGTCAAGAGAGAAAAAGAGACAAACAAATAGACAGAGAAGGCAATGCCGAGAGAAAGAGAGGGTTATAAGACGAAGGTGCTAGGAGACGAAGGTGCTAGGAGAGAGAGAAAGAAAGAAATAAATAGGGTTAAGAGATGAAGGTGCTAGAAAAGAAAAATAAAGGGGGGCTGAGAGATAAAGGTGCTATATATGAAAGAGAGAGAAAGGTGCTATAATAGAGAGAGAAGGCAAGCTAAAAAGGAAAAATAAAAGACAAGCCATGAGCTAAGAGTAAAGGACATGTCGGAGATTGTTAAAGAAGTGTTGGGAGAAAGGAGCCAATAGATAGGAAAGAGGATCTGGAAGATCGAGAAGAGAGAAATAGAAAAAGAAAGAGGAAAAATATAGTGAGATAGAGAGAGAATGAGGGCAAGAGAAATAGAATTGAAGAGGTTGGAAGATCGAAAAAAATTCGTGAATTAAATAGAGAGAGTAGGCTAGGAAATAGATATAGAGTGATAAAGAGAGAAAGAAAGAGGCTAGAAGAAAAAGGAAGATCAAGAGAAGCTGGGAGAGATAGACAGATAGATGGCTCATGAATTAAATAGAGAGAGTAGGCTAGGAAATAGATATAGAGTGATAAAGAGAGAAAGAAAGAGGCTAGAAGAAAAAGGAAGATCAAGAGAAGCTGGGAGAGAAAGACAGATAGATGGCTCAGGGGAGAGAGAGAGAAAGAGAGGGAGAAAGTGCAACCTATGGTTTTAAAAGCTCATTTTTAGAATGGAATAAGGACAAGAAGAATTAGGAAAGAAAGAAAGAGAGGGAGAGAAAGAGTTTGGGCCAATAAAGGAATAATGAAACGAGTGAAATGGAAGCAAGTGAACCAAAAATTTTCAAAGCCATTAAAAAAAAAAGTGGGAAAATATAGACAAAGTTAGGAAGGAGATAAATAAAAAAGAAAGAGAGAGATTATTATTAATTAGTAAAATTAAAAGTCATTAAGTAGTAAGAAAAATGAATTATCGTGCATTCCATGTTTACATATACACAATAACACTCTTAAAAATACATATTTAATCAACCAACTATATTAGAATTCAACTTACTCTGTTCAAAGCCCTAAGAGCTCTTTCCTTAACAACACCAGAACAACATATTTATGATAGTTAGAAAACAACTTTAAAGATAAATATTAATTAAGCGAATAAACTTATAATTGTGAAAAACTTATTAATTAAATCATAATAAACATATATTAAGAATTAGGGATTATTATTTACTGAAGATGCTCGATCGCTAAAAACGCTATAATCGTTCAAATGTAACTAATTAGCATAAACCAAACTTATGTGCGTTTATATAAACTTAGAGATAACAACACACAATTAACATCACATATATTGCACCGATTAATCCTTAAATTTGTGCTAAGAAAAACTATTTGAAAATTCGAATATTTGTTGATCCAATCCGGATCTGAACCAAAAAATTTGGATATTCGATCTGAAAAAATTGGATATCGGATATTTAAGATAATCACACACAATAATAACATTAATGATACAACAAGCTCTTTTTACAATTCATTAAATTATGCTCCCTAATCAGCATGTTAATAACACCTCAAACTACGAAACACGATCACATCCACGAAGCTTACACATCTTACCGTCGCGGGGGGGGGGGGGGGGGGGGGGGGGGGGGGGGGGGGGGGTGGGGGGGGCACGCGCATAGCGCGTGCTCCAACGACCAGTATGTTATAAAAGTATTAGATTATTTATTATAACTTTTAATTATACATCATTAAACGTGTTAATTAGATATATATATAGAGAGAGAGAAAACGTAAGCGTAAAAAACTTACAGAAAGGGTGTAATAATAAGTAATACTTCCTCTGTTTTTTTATATTTGCAACACACCTTTTATCACGTTTTTCGAGGAGGTGATTAAACTAGATAAACGAATGAATTAAGCTATGAAATTTAAAACGTAACAACTTATCCCTTTGTTCTTATAGGTTGTAAAATTTCGTAAATTAATTAATTCGTTTACCGAGTCAAATATCTTCCTTAAAATGCGTGCTAAAGGGGTACGTTGTAACTAAATAAAAACGAAGGAAGTAATTCTCTAAAGCTATTTAGGGATGTATAAACATTTACTATGTGTAATCTAATCTTGAAAATTAGATAATGAGTTTCAAACAAAATAACTATTTACAATAGAATGATTCACAAGGTCGGTCTCTATTATACTTAAAGGGATGTTGAAGATTAGACCTCTCAAGTATCACCGCATGTAAGTGTCCCACATTGGTTGAAGAAAGAGAGTTAATCACTTTATAATGCTAAGGCTACTCCTCCTATTGTCATATGTTTTTGGAATAAAACCTTCTTGGCCTTGTAAAATGGACTCTCTTTCTTGGTTTGCAAGTGCGGCCCAGACTCATATTTTATAAGGGAATAGTAGAATTATATACAAGAAAGTCTAATTTATTGTATCAGACGTAAAAAAACACCAACTAAATAACCTTCTAGACTGCGACAACTAACTTCTCCAATTAATAGTGGATTTTGCATGTTAACAAATTTATTAAAGGATAGAAGAATAACGTTTTTTTATGGATCAAAGAAAATTCAATTACATATTTATTCCTCCAATAGTTTGAAGATTAATAGGTAACGTTACACTTACACATTATTGTGAATACATTTATAAAAAAAATCCTTTAATACAACTAAAAATTAACAAAGATAGTATATGTATCATTTTATGATGATGACATGATGCCTTTTTCAGTTCTACCTTCTACATCATGATTTAAAAGCGCACGATTAATTGAAGAATTGTCTCTTAAATACTTCAGTGCTTCATTTGTCTACCTAAGATTTTTTGGGCTTTCTACTCATGTATGGGCCAACATATACTATCCCTTTTCATTTGGGCTTTGTATATTGTTTATAGATGTGGCCCGTTAATTTGTATGTACCTTTTAAGGTCACAAAGTTAAAAAATGTATGTTTAAAACTGTGGAAAAGCCAAGAGGTACTTTTTAAAGTGCCGTCTTTTCCAAATATTGTAGTAAATAGTAATGATTTTACAAATATGGGCCAAGTAGAAGTGTGAACAACTCACTTTATTATACATGCTAATTTAAATTTATTGTATAAATTATAAAATATGGTCAAAGTGATTTTATTTTTACCACATGAATTGAATAGTAAGTGAGTGAACTGTACTTTCAGAAACGGAGGTAATACTGAAGGATTTATCATAGTAGTTTAATTATATATTTATTTATTTATTTATTTTTTTTTTGAAAGAAACATAACCACTCAAATGTTATGTAGTGTGCCATACCATGATACCATACCAAATGGCAAGTCTTTACTATAGATTATATCTTTTTTTTCCATTGCTAATAATTTAAAAATGAACTTTCCTGAAAGGGTAAACAACCTAACACAACAAATAAAATTTTAATTGAATAAACACAGTAACCTAATCACTCAAATTTACTTCTTGAAGTATATATATGCATTATAGTTAACTGGTTAATAGTTTGAAACCACAATTACAATAAGAGCATGTGGCCATGCATGTGGAGTTTATATAGTACTCCGTATAGTTGATAAAGATGCGAAACAGAGATCGATGCTAAAGAATAATAATTCAAGTTGAGATATTTGTCCGATCTTGACTTAAGTCTAAATAAAGTAAATTGCTTACTTATTTAATTAAATTCATGAAAGTTTTAGCCAATGGACTAAGAGCGCTAACGTGACTTCTTTGTTATACGTATATAATTCTTAATAGGATTACCTTAACGTGACTTCTTTGCTACGAGTCCTAAGATCTGCAGTCATTGTTAGCAATTTAGGGCATGTTCACTTGTTACTTTCACTTGTTACTTTTAGCACCAGTAATGCAATTTATTAGCTTAATATAGTCTTATTACTTTTGACTATCACATTTTTTTTTAAATAGACGGATGCGATTATTTATTTATTTTTAAATTATTTTAATTATATTTTTAACTTTCTAAAATTATTTTTAGATATTTTTGAAATTCTGGAAATAAAAAAATATATGCTTAATGTAAAAATAAATTTTTAACTAATAAAATTACTAATTAAAAATAAATAAATAAAAAATTATATCAACCGTCCATTTTAAAAAATTGTGAATTTTCACACTATAAATACTATAGATAAAGAAGAATTATAGAAGCTCCCAAACTTCAAAATTAAAACTTAGAATTATACAAAAATGTACACTCCATCTCAAATAACAAAATCATCACCGGAAATAAAAACAATGTGTGGTTCCTATAGGCTGATGCATGATCCTCATGGTACATCCCTTCCAAAAAAAAAAAAAAAAAAAGGAAAAAACATTGTATAGAAATGCAAAGAACATTTAGTTAAAGTGAAAAGAAGATGTTATAGAATTGTAAAGAACATTCATTTAAAGCGGAAAGAACATGCTATAGAATTGTAAATAACATAACATGTTGTTAAATAATTTTTTTTTTTCATGTTCTTTGATTGTCATTATAATGTACTTTTATTTGTGACATAATGTTAATTATTTATTTTAAAATGTTCTCTGAATTTTGTCTTTAGATTATGGTGGTTGAAAAATAATATACTTTACATTATATTATCATTAGAGGTGACCAAAAATTCGGGTCGGTCCGGACCTTAACTAATTAAACTACTGAACATTAAAAAAAAATGTATTGTGAAAGCCCGAAGGGTTAACCAAAGAAAAAAAAAAAACAGAAGCCTGAAGGGTATAAATATACTACATTCGTTAACTTTTAGTTGCAATTTTGGAGTATTATTTGTGAGATATAAATATTCTAAAATTGCAACTAAAAGTTAACGGAAGTAGTACATAGAAAGTTGAGTATAGAAGATAGAACCAGTGAACCACACTAAAAGTTAACATCCAATTTTTCACATTAGCCGACATCCTTCAAGATCTTCATTCTCATTCCCTCAAAATCGAAGGCCTTGGTTTGAACTCAATCTGCTCACAAACTCGAACTAATAAGTAAAAGAACCACCTACTCATTCTTAAAGTTGTACCCCTGCATTACAAACATAGAATTGAGTATTAGAATATAAACAAAGAGGGATGGTCTTTTGATTAAGAAATGTTCTTGAAGAAAGAATATGTGGGAAATTTAACAAAATCGGCATAGGAGCTTTGATTACAAAATTTACTAGAAGTATTTACCAGTTCGGCTAGTTGCATCGGGTCTTTGCTCTCCTTACTTGCAATGAGGAATAGTTTGTCTAGGACTTCATACAAGAAAGTTTTATCGACGGAAATAATAATAAGAGAACTTATGACGACGATTATTAGGATGGCTACCCACAAGGACATTGGGGCCATAACAATATATACTCCGGTCATAAACGCCAATAAGGTGCAGTTGAGTGCTACCCTAAGTAACACCATGCTTCGATCAACCAATATTAGTGACTTACTGGGTTCGAAGACCATGGACCATGTGAGACAAATCAACACCAACATTGAAAAAAATAAGGCCAATGTATCAGACACCAAAAACACTAGAAAAGATGCCTTCTTGCCTAAAAGGGCTTCTCCAGTTTCTTGGTTAAACCCACCAGGTAGAGTGAATCCAGCAGTAAATGTAATGGTGGCTAGTAAGGCTGCTACTAAAAATAGTGAAGTTCGCACGTCTAATAAATTTGTCTTGTGTTTAAAGTATGTTGTTTTTATTGTCGGATCAAGTCCATTTCTTTTGCACATATGCCCCTGAAATGATTCACAAATGATAGTCATACGTCTTAACATATAAAACTGGACTTCAAAAGCAATTATTCCCTTTGTCCTATAATACTTGTCACAAATTCTATTTTTGTCCGTCTCATTATACTTGACACATTACCAAATATAAAATAGGTCCGAAAAAAAAAAATTTCCACATTTTCTCTCTCTTCACCCCCATTTCCACCCCTGTTGTTATTTTCTTGCAATTTTAAAATCCAAAAGATAATCTTTTATACAATAAACAAATGTTTTAAATAGAATCACATGTAATTTTCTTAAATTACGTGCCCACCCCAACGTTTCAAGTATTATAGGACAGACTGACAGAGGGAGTAAATAACAATAATTAAGAAAAATTATGAAAAGAAATAATACCCATGTCGCATTATCTTCCTTGTGTACATGAGCCAGCAAATCCATTGCAGTCACATCGTTAATATCATTGATGTCATATATTATCTTCTCCATCTTGAGTAGTGTTTCTGTTAGAAATATGTCTCCATTTCGTATTGCTTTATGGAGAGGCGTCTCATTTTTGACATTTTGAATATTGATTAGATCCTTCATGTGTGGAATCTGAAGAAAATTTTCGTACTCCGTTAAGGTATGGAGTTTTATGTGATGCAAAGGCGAATCCTTATACTTAACGCAAAGATCTCGAAAAGCACCAGGATTATGTTCAATGAATGCCTTAAGAGCATCGACATGGCCTTTCTCGCAGGCTTTGGTCCAAACCAAGGGTGCACTATTGAACACGGATGGATCCTTCTCCAAAACTGCTTTTATAAACCATGAAGGACCAATTTCATATGCTTTATCCCAAGACGATTGATTATTGTTGTCTTTTTGGGTGATGAATTCTGGTGCAACATTGACAAGCCATTTCCCGAACTTAACATCTGCTTTCAAGAGTTTTTCCCCAAAAAATTTAGTAAAAAAGGCAACCACTACAAGAAAATAACCTTTTCGTAGCGATTATTTTAACCTTTAGTATCGATTGTAATTGCAACAAAAAGCTTTCCCAACGAAAAAAACATGCGTATGATCTTTACAAGATTCGAACATGCAACCTCAAACTCTTATATTAAATGTTTCACCAATAAGCTATGACATATTTTATGTATTCTTTTTCAAACAATATTTATATATCTAGTGTTGAAAAGGCTTTTCATATCGATTTTTAGGATTTAGTGGCGATTGTAAATGATACGATTTCTCAAAATTATATAAATGTGTAAAAATAGTGTGGATATGTATTATTATGCTTTTCGTATCGATTTTAGATGGGAAAACCATGGCGATTGTAAAAATGATACAACATCCTTAATTATTTCACAAACATACTTGCATATTGTAGCGAATGAACAATCGCTACGAAATAATCGCTACGAAAAGTGATTTTTATTGTAGTGAACATTTCCAAAATATTACGAACATAATAAAATATTAAAATTTGACATTATAAAAACAAATAGATTTTAGGACTTTTTGTCAAAAACTACCTAATAAAACCAAGATTTTGTTAGAAATTACCTAATAAAAAATATGTTGTAATAAACTACTTAATAAAGGTAAAATGTTGTAAAAAAAACTACCTGATAATAGATAAAATGATGTAAAATACTACCTATATCGAATTTTCCATCGTTGATCGACCTCAATACACTCTCAAAACCACCGCTACTTCCTCCAATTTATTGTAAATGTATCAGTTGTCTTATTTAACCGTTTTTTATTTTTTTTAAAATAAAACCAATTTTACTTCAATATATATATATATATATATATATATATATATATATATATATATATATATATATATATATATATATATATATATATATATATATATCTTCTTTTCATATTCCTTATAATTGGTAGTGGAACCCACTATGACGTCATATATGGGAGTTGGGCAAAGTAGTTTGAGTGTTTTGCACATTATAGTATTGCAACAAATAAACTCCGTTAAACATGCGTGCAAATGCAAGTGATATATCCTAAATAAAATGAAAAGAGAAAATACTATACTTTAATTTTTTTTGATGATTTAAATATCAAGAATGCTAAGTTAGAGTGAATATGAAATCTTACTTGTCAAAGTTGGAGCCAAATGCAATATATTCCGACCATCAGAAAAATCCTTCAGATATTTTGTCCAGCCCTCCTTATCTAATCTTGACATTATAAATTCAGTCACTTGTTGACAATCATTCAGTATAGCAAGAAACAAAGTTCTGTGCTCGGGCTTGTAATAATCTAGTAATTCACTAATATCATCATCTTCATCAAGTAGTGACAATATGTATGATGCAAGTTTTTCATTTTTGTTGCTTATAGCAATGTGCAAAGGTCCTTCCTCCGCTTTATTCTTTACAAACCATGGCAATTGACTAGTCGCGTACGCATCCCAATTAGGAAATTCTTCTTTGTAAGCTTCTACAAGGAGCTTTACTATTTGGATTGTTGCCTCATTATTGGTGGTACTTGCAGCATCATGAAAAGGGTTGTTCCATTTATTGTAATCGATTTCCTTTAGAAGCTTAACAAAGGTACTTCTCCATTTGCTCTCTAAAATGTATTGAAATAGCCATACTTCACCGTTTTTAACCCAATTGCGTAAAATCGTAATCCCCCCTTTGTCTATTTCGTTGAGTAACTCCGGATGCCCTTCAACCAGTCTTGTAAAAAACTCTTCTGTTCTTCAAAAAAAAAAAAAAAAAAAAAAACTATTCAAAATAGTCACACATAAATCGAGATATGTGTATGCCTTAGTACATAAAATGAGATAGTTTCGGTAATTTTATTTACTAATGTTATAGATTAAAATTTACGGTTTTTTCACCAAATGCCTTTGACCTTTTGAAAAATTCATCAAACATCACTGACATTTCATATTATTCACACCGTGACCTCAAAATACTCCTGACGTTAGAGGTCCATTAGCAATTAAATTTTATTCACCAAATACCTAAACTTAGTTAAATAATTAAACAAAATACCTCTCTTTTTGGTGGTACAACGACTAGTTTGAAATTTAGGAAACGACAGAGAGAGAGGAGTATACTCACGTTTACAAAAGGGTGCAATATGCAGCACATTCTTGTGATAACTATTAAGAAGGTGAGCCCAACCTTGGTTTTCTATTATCTCCAAAATCTTCTCAGCGACTTGATGACATTCCTTCTCAACAGCCAAGAATAAAAGATTTTTCCGAATCTTAATTACGGTATTTGCATCTAATGACAAAATATAAATTGCAAAATTTTCAAACTGACGGTTAATAGCCAGGGACAATGGTGTATCTCCGTCATTGTCTACCACTAACCAAGGATGCACATCAATGTTGGATGGTTCTTCTTTGTATGTATTTATGAGCAATTTTGCTATTTCAATAGCAACTTCTTCATTCGACGTATACTCGGCTAGATTGTGTAGAAGGTTATCACCATAATTGTTTGTTAAAAAGACCATGTCCACAAAAACACTCTTAGGGATAATATCATGGCATTTTAGAAGTCTTTTAAATGGCCATGTTTTATTGCCATACCTTACCCAGTGATAGAACACCGAAAATCCATCCTCATCAATTTGTTTGATTAGGTCTAGATCTCTTTCAAGCAACAGTCGAAAGATTTCTTCTGCTTCTTCTGCATCATCAAGAAATGCTTTTCATGAGATATACATGTCATATATATGCATGCCGTATACATTAGAAACTAGCCGGTGTGTGGTTCCTACAAGAGCCTGCACTGTGCATTGTACAGACGTTTCTCACGGAAAGAACATATAATACAAATGTAAAGAACATACAACTATAATGAAAAGAACATATTATTAAATTGTAATGAACATATACCTAAAATAAAAGGAACATGTTTGCACCAATTGCAAAATAGAGTGAAAATAACATATGTCTATGTTCTTTAATTGTCAGTGTAGTTACTTTTATTTGTGATATAATGTTCGTTGCGTATTGCGAAATGTTCTTTGAATTTTTTCTTTAAATTATAGTGGTTATATATAAATAATGTTCATTACATAATATCATCATTTTTTTTATTAACATTACAGATGTTCTTTAGATACTACGTATAAATAAAAAAACATAAAATTAGATGTTCTTAAAAACTATATCTTCCTTACAAAACAGTTACGTATTCTTTTTGCGTTTTTTGTCTGTATCAAGCATGATACCACTGCATGTACCTTAAAATTTTCAGAAACTAGTAGAGGAAGTAGTTACTTAGTTTGTTTGTAGAGTATATACCTAAGAATTTCTAATTTTAAAAGAACTTTAAAATCCATACCTAATTACCAATTACTTGCATCTGTTTCTCTCTCCTCTCATCCTTTTTGTCTCTTGCATTTCTTTCTCTCTCTTATTTTTGTTCTCTTTCTTCTGTCTATCTTTTTCTTTCATGCCTCTTCTTTGTTTGATTTTTATTGAACATGGACAAGTTTTAACTTGAATTTAAAGTTCTTATAATCAAGTTCAACCTTAAATTAGGTCTCCACATTTATGATTTATCGATGGTATGTGTATTTTATAATTTCTTTTCACTACAAAAAAAATGAGAATAGACAACACTTAAGATTGCAACACTTACAGAAATGTTACTCTTAATAATCTAACGCAGCAATATTTATTTGTTACCTTGAACTAAAGTAACAGAAAAAAAGTGTTGCTCTAGACTATATAAGGCAACAATCGCTAAAAGTGTTACCTTTTTCTTGTCTAAGACAACAAACATAATAATTGTTGCATGAAAAGATAAAAATAACAGTACTATTGTTTGAAAATGTAACATTAATATCTATGTTGCCATCTATGGCAACATTTATATTAAAAAGACAACATAATTTAAGATGTTGCTTTTATGGCAAGTGTTATATATATATATATATATATATATATATATATATATATAAGTAAGTTTGGTGGAATTGGTGGGGAGCTCACCTTGTGACATTGAGGTCACAAGTTCGAGCCCTACTAACTACTAAATGCTTGGGAGTGGCAACAGTCAGAAACATTTTTGAATTGTCTCCTTAGATGACAACATTTTTCATTTGTTGTCTTTGTAAAAGTGTTGCCTTATGTATCATTCTACCTTGGCTTTCAAAATTGTTGCCTTTGAATAAAAATGTGTTGCCTTATGAATAGACAACGGGGGCATATACTACGCCTCATATGTGTTGCCTTAGCTACAAGGCAACACTTTTTTTATATTAGGCAATGGTTTTGCACTGTTACCTTTGCTTTATTTTGTTGTAGTAATTTTTTATTTATTTATTTTTTTGTTTTACATTTTTCACTTGTTTAATGGGGGATTTTTGTTCATAAAACAATCTCAACAACAATGTCATTTTTAAGTATTTGGTTAAGGAAGAGGATTTTTTTGTGAAAAACTACCTTTTAAACTCCAGATTTTGCGAAAAACTACCCTAAAAACAAAATGTTGTAATTAACTACCTTATAAAATATAAAACGTTGTAATTGACTACCCTCTACCGGAATGACACATTTGACTTTTATTTCCCGACGTTGACTATGTCACGTGACTCTTTAATGACTTAATTCCCCTCTTTTCCCCAAAATTTCCTGCTTTACACCAATTCAGCCCATATAATTATCAAAGGGGTTGCAAATAAACAATATAAAATATGAATAATCGTATTGTTATGGAAAATAGTTGGTATAAAGCGGGAAATTTTGGGAGAAAGGGGAGAATTAAGTCATTAAAGGATCATGTGACCCTCACATGACATGATCAACACCGGAAAATAAAAATCAAATGTGTTATTCCGGTGGGAGGTAGTCAATTACAACATTTTATACTTTATAAGGTAGTTAATTACAACATTTATACTTTATAAGGTAGTTAATTACAACATTTTGTTTTTAGGGTAGTTTCTCGCAAAAGTCAAAGTTTAAAAGGTAGTTTTTCACAAAATATCCTAAGGAAGAAGTACCATCTGGGTGTTTTGCAATATCGTGGTGGCAGGTAGCAAAGTGATTTAGGTTATGTGGATTATGGGGTTTTGTGCATTTGTGGTGGGTTGTGCAAGGTGGGGAAGCAACTATGGTGTATGAAAAGGGGCAATGCAACTTGGTGATGGTTGTTGGCGATTAGTGATGTTTGTAAGTGGGTTCTAATATGGTAAAAATTCTACTATGGTCATCCTTAAAATGACCACGACTGTTCCTAAATTTTATTGGTTATTTATTTAAAAAATACTTATATAGTCAAGCTTCATTTTTATTTTTGTTCTATTTTTAATTCTTTTTCTTGTTTGCAAAAAATAATTTTTGATTTTAAAAAAAAAAAATAATTTTTTTCCATACTTATTTTATTAAAATCACTTTTTAATAAATTAGAATAGTAAGATTAGATTAAAAAAAATTAAAATATTATTCTTCATTTTACCATGTCAGATCCAGGCATGAACAACTCAACAGTGGTTGATTACAAGAACGGATTTTCGTGGTTTGATATGGTGGTGGCTTATAATTCAAAACGAAGGTGATTGACAAGGGTGCGGTTTCCATTAGTTTTGTGGGGGCTTTTTTGGGTTTTGTGAGGGTGGTGTTTAATTATTTGGCACTCAAAAATCGAAATGTGTACATAAAGAAGAATGCAATATGTTAAATTGTGAATATTGTAGGAAGTGCAAATTTTGCGAGATTTAAAACAAGGAATGATCAAGTATTTTTCATTCGTGGTGGTGCAATGGTGATTGGAACTACACTTGGTAGGGAGGACCCGTATTGTTGTGAGGGACTGAAATCTAACCACCCACAAATGAACCCCGAATGCGAATTAGCCCAAAAGGGTGAACCAAATGAAATAACAAAAAAAAAACAAGGAATGAAACATGGGAGTTACCTGAGCTATTTAAAACGTGTATCGCGATAAACGGGGATCGACCCCCATATCCGGTGCAAGAAATAGAGAAGGGGGACCTTAATATCTCCAACGCTAACTTGGTTAGCTTATTATAGATAGCGTCGAAAATTATGTAGGAGCCGCGGTTATCAGGCGTATTGCAAATACACTCCATATCGATTTTTAATATTTCCAACGCGCATTCCTCGTGATTATTTCCAATAGCCACGTAGCAAGGAGTATCGCCTTCGTTATTCTGCATTAACCAAGGTCGTAGTTCGATATCAGATGGTAATGATGGCAAAGATCTATACACATCTAGGAATATCTTTGTTATCTTCACATTCCCAGGGTCGGCTGATACATGTAGAGGGTTTCCGTTGCTCGGTTCGCGTGGTTGGAGGAGGAGTTGTTGCGTGTTTTCGACAGGTAAAATCTGGATAGCCTTTTTTATAAACTCTTCTTTGTTATTGTACGCTGCCATGTGAAAGATATTCCCGTAACGGCGATCAGCTTCATCGTTGCTGCTTCTGGGGTGATAACTCATGTAGTATTCCACTGGTTTATTGGATTTAACACATTTTTTGAGGAACTTTACACTTCCATTCAGTGCTGCTTCTCTCAGTTCCTCATCCATCATTTCTGATGATAAGGCCATGTTTTGATGAAATTATGAAGCTTTATTTTGAGTTTTGAGATTTTTCTGTGTGTGTCGCTTGAAAATGGTATGGTAGCATCTTAGCTTCTTCCCCATTATCTAGTCTTGTACCATTATTTATCATGCTAACCATGTTTAAACAGAAAAAAAAAATTAATAATAAAATTGTTGATATAATAATGTCTAATCTCGTTCTAACTACTATTTATTGATCTAATTAATCAAATGACAACTTGGGTGTTATATATACCACTTGCAAGATAATACTTTTAATATAACTAAAGTCTTTGCGGAGCAAAGTAAACTCAAATAGTCCTTCCGTCTGGCTGGATACAAGTGTACAACACTTGTCTACAACAATTATTTTGTAAAATATACTACCTCCGTTTTATATTATTTGCAACGATTAGACATTTTTCCTCTCTGCTTTATGTCAAATCGTTGCAAATAATATGTAACGAAGATAGTATATAGAATATTATAATTAGGTTATTACAGTATCTTGAGTGTGGTTAATCACACAATATGATCCACATTGTTTGTCTGTTGAGTAATCTTTCAGTGTCGTACGTGTAACCTCATTTAATGTAAAGATTGAGAGTGAGGGATAGATACCACATGTCAGTCTTGTGGTTAAAGCTTCTCTCCCAATTTAGAGTCCATGCGATTGAATTTCCTATCACTTGCTTTTGTAAATCTCTAAACATTGAAAGAAATATTAATAAGTTCATTTTTTTTACAGTGTATATAACTTACTCCTAGGCCCCAATCATCAGCTTAAACTTTTGGTTGAATTGACTGTCAATATGATATCAGAACCAACGTGACACAGAGGTCACATGTTTGAATCTCATCCACCCCTCCTTCAAAGGGGCATTAATTAACTTAAAATCATTTCACGAATATAGTATCAATCAAAAATTTTAAAAAAATACTCAGTGTTAAATTATTCATTGCATTAAACTTTCCTTTATGAATATTCATTCTGTGCAACTATTACAAAAACAAAGTACATAGTAGGTGCAATCATGATTAAGTTGGTCATCTTAAACTAGATCGTGTTCCTTCACTCCAACCCTTATCTAGCGCTCATCGTATCAAGCCTGTAATTGTTTTTATTTAAATTTTAATTGACGACTTTTAGCAGTAATATAATAACCACAATCAATAATTATTAATCAATAATCTAAACTTCTTCCGCGCATATCGGCACATGATCGATCACTAATAATTTAATAAATACCGTCACCTGGTTACTAAAGTCTAAACAACTGCATGTTAATGTCTTAGTGAGGTTATACAGCCATACAGGCTACTATTTCCGTTCTGATTCTCTAATTTACAAATTAAACTCACAATGCCAAATACATATTGTAGCCAAATTTACGTCATCTCGTTCTAACTACTATTTATTGATCTAATTAATCAAATGACAACTTGGGTGTTATATATACCACTTGCAAGATAATACTTTTAATATAACTAAAGTCTTTGCGAGCAAAGTAAACTCAAATAGTCCTTCCGTCTGGCTGGATACAAGTGTACAACACTTGTCTACAACAATTATTTTGTAAAATCCAGCACTTTATTAGTTGAATATACTACCTCCGTTTTATATTATTTGCAACGATTAGACATTTTTCCTCTCTGCTTTATGTCAAATCGTTGCAAATAATATGTAACGGAGATAGTATATAGAATATTATAATTAGGTTATTACAGTATCTTGAGTGTGGTTAATCACACAATATGATCCACATTGTTTGTCTGTTGAGTAATCTTTCAGTGTCGTACGTGTAACCTCATTTAATGTAAAGATTGAGAGTGAGGGATAGATACCACATGTCAGTCTTGTGGTTAAAGCTTCTCTCCCAATTTAGAGTCCATGCGATTGAATTTTCTATCACTTGCTTTTGTAAATCTCTAAACATTGAAAGAAATATTAATAAGTTCATTTTTTTTACAGTGTTCATAAAATAAATATATGTCATTATTTTTTCAATAATAATAATAATAATAATAAAAACATATATCAAGTGATATACTTCCTCCGTTTTTTTATTATTGCACCATAGAGGTTGAGTACAAATATTTTGATAGTGGAAAAAAGTAAGAGAGAAAAATGTAATAATACAAAATTGCCCATGTGACATATTGATAAATTAAAAAGTAAGTTTGAAAAAACAAGGGTATGTTGGGTATTTATAGTGTGAACACAAATAATTTTTTTCCAAAAGAGGAAATGGTGCAATATTTGTGAAACTTCTTATAAAGGCAAGTGGTGCAATAATAAAAGAACGGAGGAAGTATTGAAAATAGTCCCAAGCCACACAGTTGGAAAGACCAATTACTCGTATAAAAAGGACAAACATAATATAAATAACAACGCGATTACTTAAGCTTATGATTATACAAATCATACTTAAAACTTAAGAGCCCACTCGATCTGATCTCATAGTGGCTTATTGGTAGGTACGAAACTCATATAATAGAGATTAGAGAATTATAACATAATATTAAGGTACACCGATCATTAACACAGATCCAAGCTCCACTTTTGCTAGTTGATTACGGCCAGCTCTAAGACTTCAGTATGGTGAGTATTGCTCCAAACACTAGCATAACATCAAATAATTAGAGCGATAAGGACAATACAAATTACAAAATACGCTACTGTACTCGAACATATGACCAATTATATATGTCTTTACGTTACCTGTTTTTTCATGTAAATACCAATGGAGTCGAGGAACTTTCCTTGCCTTCCAAAAAAGCCAACAATTGGATCACTTAGAGCAAGTGGAGTTGAGAAGCTACAAACATTCTGGCAGTTCTTTGCTAGTCCATAAGGTCCATATCCTCCTGCACATAAGTTGGTGTGGATCCTCAATGAGGTTATACGACGCTCGTAACCACTGCCCTTGTGCTCTCCATGGGTTCCGCTTATTTGTGTTATGTACTCATTAGGCCTCAGTACAATCTACGTACATACAAATGTTTTAAAATGATAAACTTGATTAGAATATAATTCGTTTTTGACCCGAGCTTCCAAAATATTAAGATTGATGATATATGTGAATTAATACATACCTTGGAAGTTTTGCCGCCTTGGCCACCGACGGTTTTAGTGGTGTTACACCCACTTCCGTCGATGATAACGAATCCGATTCCGTCAACAATGTTTGCGTGCCTTATAATGACCTCTCTTATGCTGTCACATTCGTCAAGCATCACGGACCAGTTTGTTGCACATTGAGAACCGTATGGTCCGTATTTTTCAACAATTTGGTTCTATACAAAATTAATATATAAATAAAAAAATAAATAAAAAATAAAAAATATGAAGGATCGAATTATATGACATGATAATGAGGATATTACATATAAAGTAATTAAAACTATAATAAAAGAGATAATATCATACCATTGCCATTTCTTGAGCCATTTTCTTGGATAATATAAGAGGCTTGAAGTTGTACTGTGAACAAGTTTTGGTTAATTGCGTTGCGTTGGATACGGTAAAGAATACCAAATATGTTATATATATACTACTCTTGATAATGGGGTTGGCATCTAATTATAACTTTGAGATATAAAGATCGATTCTTTTTTTTTTTTCTGTATTTTTTTTTATTGAAAAGTCGATTCTTAATATGGGCAAAAGTATTCGATTAGTGTAAGAACATCAATTTCACTTAAAGCTCTTCCGTAAATATTATAACTAGCTAAGTATTAAGTATTAACCATAAATAAATTAAACGTCAAAAAAAAAAAAAAAAAAAAAAACGTATATCATTAAGCTATCAATTAATTGAGAGTGAGAGATACCTTAAGTGGTTAGAGCTCTCCTTCCGGTTTCAAAGGATCTTGGGATCGAATCGCATCACCCGTCCTTGTGGCTCTCTAAATTCCAAAAAAAATAATTAATTACCCTCATTATTCAAAGGGAATACTAGTAGTATAAACTTATAAAATAGAATGCTAATTAGTCATTTTTAAACCTCCATAATAATTTATTTACTAGTCCCAAATGCAGTTAATTGACAAAACACCTTTCAAAATTTGATACTCCGTAGAATCTTTCAGGGATCATAATGTTATATATTCACTTCCTCCACTGCGTAAAGAGTAGGCAGAATCTAATTCCAACAAAATGTGTGCACGAAAAATCACATTATTTCAAGTCAAAGAAACAGATTAGAAACTAACGATTTAACACGGTATCAGTTTATACACTTTCATTTTAGTTTCGGAATGAAATGCCCCATTATTTTATATATATAATTACTAATTGGGTGTTGGTGTAGTGATGATTGGGACAACAGTTGGGAGGGAGGACTTGTGTTCGATCCCCCGCAACAACAATTGGGAGAGGATTGGAACATATCTACCCAGAACTGATCCCCAAATCCAAATAAGCCTAAAGGGAACACCAAAAAAATAATAATAAACCTCACCATTATTTGATACTCTCTTTATATCACTATCAAAAGTAAGGACCACATTACTTCCCTCATCAAAGAATTTAATCATTCAATTAATAATTCAATATCTTCTACCACATCTAGTTTTGTAAAAGAGGTTCTCATTCTCTAATGCTACATATATATATAAAAAAATCTAGGATAAAATGATGATCAACAATACCTCTTTCTCGCTGCCGCGCTGCCTCTATATAATATAAAAATATGGGAAATTATCAATGGTACATCCAAGGTTCGAGCGTTTATTAATGGTACACCTACTAACTATTGTTTATCAGCGGTACACCCAAGGTTTCACACACTCATCTACAGTAAACCTAACGTTAAACAAAAGTTAATTTTTGCTTTTTTTTTCATTTTTTTGACTTAAAAAACTTCCTCCTTTTTTCCCTCTTTGCTTTCCCTCCTTTTTTTAAAAAAACTAACTTACCCACCCACCCACTCCAACTGTATACAGATATAATTTCCTTTGTGTATTGAATTATGCATTTGGATTTTCACATCATTTGTTATTGTTTAAATAAGAATTTCAGCAATTTTAAAATTAGAAGTCCATAAAAATAACATACTTAGCTTTATCGATATCAAAAGAAAAGATTACAACAACATTACATTATTTCAAAGCCACTACTAATAACACCATATACATAACAATAACAATTTTGACCATCAAATGAACAAAGTCAGCAAATTCATTTGTTTTGTGCATGGACTCATTGAAATCTCTCCTCAAAAGTTTAACACAAGTAGCTTCAGGTGTATTAGCAACCCTACCTGCCGTGTCAGTAACAATCTTCTCCTCTTTAACCCGCATGAAGAATTCACACAACCTGCATTTGTAGTAGGGTCTTCCTGGGTTTGAAACAGAGCTTGAGAATCTAATATCAACATATTTTGAAGGGGTCACAGTTGCAATTAACTAATTTGATTCACAAACCCTACCATTCCTATTGCTAGAAGACCCCATGATAGAAGAAGCCATTCACAAGCCAAAATAAATAAAATAAAGAGAAAGTGAAGAGGGAAATTCGAGAAGAAAGAGAAGAGTAAACTGCAAAAGAGGGGGGAAAACTATATATACACTTGGAGTGGGTGGGTGGGTGGGTGGGTTAGTTTATAAAAAAAGAGGGAAAGCAAGGGAGAAAAAAAGGAGGGAGTTTTTTAAGTTAAAAAACAAAAAAAAAAAAGCCAAAATTAACGTTTGTTTAACGTTATGTTTACTGTAGATGAGTGTGTGAAACCTTGGGTGTACCGCTGATAAACAATAGTTAAGTAGGTGTACCATTGATAAACGCTCGAACCTTGGGTGTACCATTGATAATTTCCCTAAAAATATTAATGAAATCTTTATCATGAAGGCAGATGCACCATACTCCGTGCATCCGGTTTTCCTTAAAAAAGGCGGAATGAACATATAGTTGTTAAGTATAGAACATATAGTTGTTTTGTAAAGAACATATAGTTATTTTATAAAGAACATCACATATGGTTGTTTTGTAATGAACATATAGTTTTGTAAATAACATATAACTATTTTGATAAAAAAAAAATCAAGCTTTATGTTCTTTGTATATATTTAAAGAACATCCTAATATTAATAAAGAGCATGATAATATAATGTAATGAATATTATTTTTATTCAACAAAAAAAAAAAAAACATAATAGTATTTTTAAAGAACATCTAGCTTTTCAATCTTTAAATGAATTATTTGTTCCATAATTGAAGAGTTTTGGTAATTCTTTCCCAATCTCAATTTAGAAATTTGTATATTTCCTCACATTTAATTTCACTTGTATGTTTGAATTTTTAGAGAGAGAAATAGAAAATTTCTATAGAAAAAGAAATTCTTCTAATAGAAGACGATGGCTGAGCATTTAGATCGAGTTTCGTGGTGTGCTTTTATCATTGTTTTATTAATGGAGTGATTTTAATGAATTGAAGGTGAATATGTGGATTTGTTAATCAAAGATCGAAGGTAATTTTGAATGAAATTTTGTATTTAATTTTCTTTAATTGTGTTACTTTTTAGATGTGAATTAGAATATTTTGTAATCATAAAATTCATTGTTTATTTTCCTTTTTAAAATTTGTTGAATCTGGATATAGATGTTGAATTTGAGAATTATGTGACAAAGGTTAAAGATGATGTTCTTTATAAGATAGTGTTATGTTCATTTCTTTGATTTTAATTTTACAATTTTATAACATGTTCTTTTCACCTTAACTAAATGTTCTTTTCATATAGCTAAATGTTCTTTACATCTCTATATAATGTTCTTTTCGCTTATTTTTTTTTTTGAACGGATGTACCATACACATGGTACATCCGCCTCCACGAATCACTAATTAAAATATTAAAAGTACGTTAAAAATTTTGTATTTCTCGATACATAATTTTAACCATCAATATCTCATTTTTTGACTTTATATGTTGACATCAATAATATTTTATTATAAATAGAAACATGTACGTAATAACCATTATTCAGTTCTTAGTGAGTACATAAAAATTTTCCATACTCGAATTTTCATGAACGTATTACACACGCTTACAAGGAGGGAGCGGAGTACCACAAAGGTTAAGATTTCTCGAAAATGTTGAGGCAGGAATAATTAACGTGTGGGTTGGAATTATCCCACTAAGTTGATTTCTTGAAACATCAAAATTAAATAGCCTTTCCAAATTCAACACCCTCTTTGGAATACTTCCTGTCAACCTATTCTTCGATAGTAAAATATTAGCCAATTGACTAGCATTCCCTAATGCTTCGGGAATTTTTCCGGAAAATCGATTACTCGTCATCTTTAAAATTTCAAGTTAGGGTAGAGAACCTATAGAATCTGGTAGAACACCAGCCAATCTATTGTTACTCCTATCTATCGACGTTAAGGATTTAAGTTAATGTCCTTTATTGTTACTCACATCTATATATAGAAGCTAAGGATTTAGCAAAGGGCTGTGGCAAAGAAGACCACGGACACCAGCAAAGGGCTGTAAAAAAAGACCATGGACACCAGCAAAGGGCCGTGACAAAAGACCATGGACACCAGCAAAGGGCCGTGGTAGCAATTCAAAAGTTTGTTTTTTTTGTGATGTATTTTCCTATATTCCTAACAGATTTAAAATTTCCTAAGGAATATGGTATAACACCGAGCTAGTCCCCATTAATATCATATAACGACAAGCCATGTTGATATCATGGCATTAACGTAAATGATTGGAACTTTTTCTGATATGTGTTTGTAAAGTAGTTGAATGCTGACTAGGACTCCGTAGCTGCAATATTTTATTGCAAAAGTGTAACAGATCTTAAATGGACGACAAATTTGACGTCGCCTCCTTCAGTCTTATGAAATTAAGTCTGGGTAAACTTGGTGAGGAGGAGAGAGAATAACAAACTAGGAGAGAGAAACAAAAATTTTGAGTAGAAGAAACGATGATGGTCAACGGTGGATAATCCGCTACCACCACCACTGTCACACAAAAAATCCACGCATAACTTCTAGCTCCGTCTTGATTATTCAGTCGTTTATTCCGTCGTGATTTCTATACGGCACCACGATTGGTTAATTCGGGGTAAATGTATTGCAACTTTTAGATTTTAAAGCTCTAAATTGTTAGCCGAAATTTCCAGATATGGTGTTTACTCATTATATAGCAAAAAGTATACTCATAAAACAAAATAATACTAGTATAATTTATTAGAGTTTAAGAAAACTTCATAGAAACGGAGTACTAATAATCAACAAAAAGGAAATACATGCATGGGGCTCTACACTTGCCCCTCTCTTGCATAAATAAAAAAAATTAAGAAAAAAAAGGTAATACACATGACAACACAACCGTACATTGAGCTTAAATTAAACTTTTAATAAAAAGTTTTATTGGAAAAAAACACACATAAAAAAATAAATAGGAAATTATTAAAATAAAGGATGACTCTTTTGGTATTGGGACGCATCGTTTTGATCTAGCCGATCGAGCATGAGCATGAGCAGATTATATAATACGTCCATATGGCCCATAGTTGTGTTCCTCAGCGAACTGAAAAATATAGATAAATAGAATGATGTTAGAAATTATAGTAAAATTAAGGGTCTATTCTCATTGACTGAACTCGGCTGAAATGAACTGAACTGAATTGAATTGAGCTGAACTAAACTGAATATTTTATAAGAGAAGGATATTAGGAGCCGAAGTGAACTGAACTGAACTGAGCTGAGCTGAGCTGAACTGAACTGAACTGAACTGAACTAAACTGAACTGAACTGAATTAAACTGAACTGAACTGAACTAAACTAAACTGAACTGAACTAAACTGAATTTCAACGTAAGAGAACATACCCTAAATATTAGAAAATCAATAATTAAACAAACAAGTAATCATAAAATGATGATAGGTAGAATAAGTATATGGATATAAATTAAATTACCTCTTCACCAAATCCAATTGAATTAAGAAACATTCCATAGGATCCATAAAACCTAACAAGAGAACTCTTTGGTGTCACATGATATTCGAATTTCTCAATAGTATTAGCATCGAAATCAGCTTCACTACCATATCCAATTCCCTTTGGACGTGAATCGGTATAGATCTTTATCGTAGCTGTTTCGGATGAAAACAATCGAATCTCGGAAGATCCTTTTATCTTGAGGGAACTTGGTCTCGGTCCGAACGACGCAGGAGCCGAGGGTTTCCTGCACAACAAATACACGTAAACTAGCCTCGGGGGGGACGCCGAGGAAGGCCCCTCCGATGCTTAAGTCAGTATATTAGAGAGAGAAAGCTGTGCAAGAGTTTAGTTGCTTGAGGCTTTATTGTCTTACCAAGGATTGACCAAATTGTTGGCTTTTATACCTTGGCTAATGAAGGAGGCGGATTGGGCCCGGAAGTCAGTTGGGCTGGGCCAAGCTGACTGGGCCGTTGACTGACCTTGACATGGCTTTGAGGATGTTGATTTTTGACTTTAGCATATTTGGAGAGTTGAACCTTAACCTTGGGCTTTTAATTGGATCATTCAGTGACCAGGCCCAATTGGACTAAATTGGACCCAAACAACTTGCCCCCCAGACCCGATTTGGAAGGATGACGGGTCGGGTTTGATTTAACCAGAAAAGGAGGGAAGTGGATGATTTGTTAATCCAAAAATGTGAATTTAAACCGTAATTAACCCATGATTAATGAGATAACAACAGCTAATGTGGATAATTGCGGAAGTTGGATGGGTAGTGGGCGATTTAACTGCAAGGTTGTGTGTTTAACGGTTACTTAGTGGGGTGCTTGAGAGAAATTGAAACGCAGACTCCTTGAATTCCCATTTCTGGAGATATAAATAGAGGCGCGTCTTCTCTCCCCACTCACTCATCAACACAAACCCAGAATTCTCAAGAACGCTCAAGAGCCCGCATCAAAACTTCGCAAATTCCCCGAGCATTAAGCTTAGAAGCTGAGACTTGTCACTACCAATTCGTAAATCGGCGGCTTTTGCTTCAGATCAAGGTAAATTCCTTTGATTTTATTTCATCTTTCTTCGACTTTGCACTCTTTCCCCTTTTTCGACTTTTTCCTTCGAAATTCGTCAATGGTGAGGGGAGTTAGAGGTGGAGCCCGTGCTCCAAGAAGAGCAAGGCTAATCCCCGATCCCAGGGTCAGGATTGGGACCTGGAATGGACGAAGGACAGAGTCTGACCCTGCTGAAGGGGTTAGGGCGACTCCCATTTCTTCGGCTCCTCCTCAGAGGGCTGAGGGGGTGAGAGCTTCAGGACGGGATGATGAAGTTCCCGCTGTCCTTTGGGATATCCTCCCAGGGTTTTCAGAGTGGGAGGATGCCGAAGTAGCTTCGGCCATGATAAAGAACCGTCCCTACTCATGGTGGGTAGAGAACGCCGATCAATATCGATTTGCTGAGCAAATTGAGTTGCACTACGGCATTTTTGAAGCTGATGGATATTGGTGCCGAATGCCCTCAGCATCCGATAGAATCCATCGTCCACCCCCGGGGTATGTGGGGGTGTACACGAGACAGCTTCAGTATGGGCTGAGGTTCCCTTTGGACGTATTCGTTCGAGACTTGCTGATCCATTACAACATTTCCCTGTGCCAGCTGACCCCCACCAGCATCCGAAGGGTAATGACGTACTTATGGGTCTGCAAATTCTTCAGATACGTGCCGAACCTGCACTGCTTCAGAAAGCTCCATCGGCTAGTGCCAAATATTCAGAGTGGGCACGGAAGCCATGGTTCTGGGTGGTATCGGATTGAGTCTCGGCCCCCGTTCCTAACCATGTGGCCGAACGACTCTTCAGACAAGGACTGGAGAGGTCAATGGATTTGGGTTAGGGCGCCCACGGAGCCGAGCCATCCTTATGTTTTCAGCGCTCCCCGGTATCTTGCCGAGCCGGATCCTGATATGGGAAGTTTAGGTCCTCCCGAAGATAGCGGGCCAGACCCGAACCTTAATCAGCAGAACATCTTCGGCAAGCTGCCGAACCGGGGAGGCAGCGGCCGAATGCAGCATATCCCGGAGACTTGGCTCCCCGATACGCACTATGTTTTCCAAGAGAATATGCTGGCGGCTGTCGGCCTCAGCCGAAAGTTTAGGGATGGTAATCTTCTTCGGCTGGGGCCGAGGCCTTTTAATTATCTCTTTTCTTCTTTCATTTTGCTTTCTTGTGATGTGCCGAACTAACTGAATTGACTTCTCCCCTTTTCTTTTTCAGAACGGGACGAGACCAACGTCGGCATTGATTACGCTCGCCTTGGCGTCAACCGAGAACGAGTCGTAACTGATCGGGCTCCCCCTATCACTGAACCAAGGCGCCGAGAAGTTCACCTAGACTCTTCCCACTTCCAAATTGAGGCTGTTGCTCTGTATCAGAGGCAGAAGCCTTGGTGGGAGAAGAGGGATCCCTTGTTTCAGCTGCTGGAAGAAGAAGCTGAAGCTGCCCGCACAGCCGAAGAGGTTGCACGGGTACTTGAGGCTTGTGAAGGAGGAGAAGGGTCCTCCAGAGCTGCTGAAGCCGAAGCTGCAGCTAGAGCAGCTGAAGAAGACGAGGCTTTGCTGAAGACCTCGGTGAGTTTTTAGACAACTTTTTTCTTTTTTTTTTTTTTTACTCACACTCTTCTTCCCCCCTGTCTGTTACAGTCTGAAGAGAGTAACAGACACAGAGAAGGCAAAGCTCCTGTTCGTCCCGAAGATCAAATACAAGAGTCTTCAGATTCAGATATGGACGAGCAGCCCCTTCTGAAAAGGCGCCGAAGGATGGCCATCATCGGCCCTCATGATTTTCAGCAGAGGCCGATGACCATCGGCGTCGCAATAAGGGAACCTGAGGAAGGCAATGGATCGCCGAGGGTTCCCCAGCCAACACCCCAATCTCCTCAAAAGACCCCTCCACCACCTCCTGAGATGGAGGTGGATCAGAGAACTCCCGGACCTAAGGGAGGGGTCCAAGAAGAAATCAAGGAGAGTGCTGCTGAGCACGAAAATAAAGATGCCGTGATGTCAAGTGCTGAAGGCTTCACGGCAGATATCGCAAGAGAGGTTGAGGCTTTCGTCCTCACCCCTGAAGAAGAGGAGGTCATAGTACTTGACTCCTCTGAGAAGGACGATGCTGAGACAACCAAAGCTAATCAAGCTCCATCGTCGTCCTTCCCTTCTTTCCAGACTCTGCATTCTGGAGAAATGGGTTTCTCGGCCCCCCGAATTCCAATCCCAGATCACATCTGGGACCTCATATGGGGTCAAAACCGAGAAGGAGCTGAAGCCTACTTCGGCAGTTTTGCTGGCATGTCCGAAGTAGACAGGGCAAGGATCTGGTCGCTGAAGGCCACTGCTGGGATGGGCGAATCCAGTAGATCAGTTCCTGACCCAGCCAGGTCTAACCAACTGCTGATGATGCAGGTAATTTTCCTTCATTTCCTCCGAAATTCAGCTCTATTTATTTTTATTATTTTTTTTTTTACTTATTTTTTGTCTTCCTGTTTTCAGTTCGTGCACAATCAGACTCTCACTGTTGAGCTGATTGATACCCTACAAGATAGGGTAGACGCTGCTGTGCACGAAAGGAAGGTGGCTGAAGAGGAAGTTAAGCTTGCTAAGCTGAAGCAAGCAGCAGCTGAAGAGAAGCAGCAGGAGGTTGAGGAGTACGGTAAAAAAGCTGCCGAAGCTCTGAAAACCTTCTGCGATGCTATGGAGATGGAGGTTTTTCCCCCACTGATGGAAGGGGAAAAATTCCTCCAGGAGCATATGGGAGTGGACGTCTCCAAGTTCAAGGCTGCTATTGAGAGCCGAATTCAAGGAACTGCTGCACAAGCTGAAGTGCAGCAGCGTCTAGAGGCTCTTGAAGCCAGCCGAATGGCTGCTGAAGAGTTGCTCTTGGCCAAAGACGTCCAACTCTCAGAGGCTGCTGCTGCTGCTGAAGCTCAAAGAGCTAAATTCCAAGAGGCTGAGGATCAACTGCTGATCCAGAAAGTTGAAGTGGCCCAAGCTCAGACAAAGGCTTTCCAAATTCAGCAAGAGCTGAATGAGCTGAAGGGTTCCTCCTCCAAAGTCGCTGATGAGCTGAAGAAATCCAAGGAAGACTTGGAGGAGACCCAGAAGAAGCTGGCTGATGCTGAGGCTTCACTCAAGGTCCGTGTCTATACCCAAGAGGAATATGAGATGGGTTTCAGAAACGGATTTCGAGTCTGCCGAAGAGTCTGCCTTCATGCTGAGCCGAAGCTGGACTGGTCTAAATGTGCTGAGTGGGTCCAGAATCCCGAAGACCCTCACATGAAGTATGCAACTCCAGCTGAAGCTGAAATTCTTAAGGCTGAGGAAGCCGAAGAGGAAGCTGAAAGACTGGAGTTGGAAGCTGAGCAGAGGGAAAGGGAGGCTCGGCAAAATGCAAAGCCCGCCTCTTCTGCTGCTGGGGCTGAGGCCACCATGGGACTCAACGCTGATCAGTCTGATCCCCCGGCTGAAGCATAGGAACTCGGGCAGTCGTCTTCAGAATCTTGCGGTTCATCATGTGCTTAACTTTAGACTCGCCGCTTTCTGAGTTTTTTGCCTTGTTTTTTGCTTCAGCTTGCCTTGTCGTACAGCAGTTTTACTTTTTGCTTATGTACGTATTTCGGCAGCTGTTATTTTCCGCTTGTGGGCGGCTGCCGACTATTTTTGTAATTCAACATTTTTATTTCAAAGAAGTTCACTTTCTCAGCTTTCTTGTGTATTTTTTCCTTCGCTCTACCAGTCTTCGCACTTTACTGCTTTCTTTGAATGATCTTTCAAATATTTGCTAAGTGCAGAACTTCGGCTAGCGAGAATCATTTCTGCTGAGACTTCTTTTTGCCGTTTGTACTCGGATGTTTTCAACTTGTGAAAAAACTGACATAAGTATCAAACTTCGGCTGAGCTGAAGGGTATTAGATCAGTTGTGCCATTTCTCTATTTCCCTCTGCCCCCCAGAAATCTGAAGATGAGGTCTTCTGAATTCTGGAATGGCTGATAATTTTTCTCGGCTAAGCCGAGGATCTTTGAACACTTTGCTTTATTTTCTACATCTGTTTTTAAAGTACTGATTTCCCACCTGAGAGTTTTCACTCTAGAGATGGTACTCTTGTGAC